GTAAGATAAATATATGCATTTTGTATCATTAATGTAAGAAACAAGTTGTTAATTAGACAGCCATAACTGTTGTTTTCATTAATGTAAGATACAAGTTGTTAATTAGACTGCCATAACTGTTGCTTTTTACATCACGAGATCCAACGAAACTTTCGTGGAAAAAATCTGTGGTCTACTTATATAATTGTTAGCGAAACTGTTATTTACAGACATGTAACTAGATTTAAGCTAACTCCATTTCAAAGATCACTGTAATTGAGATCTATTACGTTTTTTATTGTTTCTGAAGCTTACTATAAAGAAAACCAATTACATTTAGACTTGACTTCTGTACTTTCTACAATCATTATAGCAAAAATCTTTCGCGCTTTACAAAACACATAATACTCCTATATGTCGACCGTAAAACATTACCGTTAACATGCACAAATTACGCAGATTATTTGGTCATTTTTTATGTCTCACGAGTCACGTGTCTTATGCAGTCGTGATTTATTGAGAACTCACTATTGTAGGTTATATGGCGAAAATCACACGGAGGAGACAATTTCTTGTTTGACCCATACACTTGTTTCTAAAGCTTAATCCGAACCGGTAGTGTTTATTTGTAGATACTAATAAAAGTTTGTAAATTGTAGCACCAACCTTTTCTTATTTTACATATACCAATGCGCTTGCGTGAAACTTAGACAATTAAAATAGATTGCATCTGCTATTTACTTATCTACATCAGCGTTATGTGGATGAAGCTTTGTATTCCTAATTTCTTTTTATATTCTTCAAAAGCTAATAATCCTGCTTTTATTGTGTTTCGTCATATTATGTCAGGCCTGTCGCGTGTAAAAGCTCAGAAGTTAATATACAGACACCCCCCAAAAAATGGATCAAGTGAATGTTTATTTCCTGCTATTTGTTTGACGTCCTAGTGGTCTTTCAACATGACCATTTGATTACTGTACAACATTTAATCAAGCGTCAATTCAGAATTTAATTTTGGTTCCAATAGATTCATCTTCAGTGCTCTTTCTTCATTCAACAATAAATATAAATTCAATTATTACTTGAAATGGATTAACGTTGTATTTTAGTCTGCCTACATCATGTCGTTAATCGATAGCTCTTGACTTCTAGTGGTAAAAACTCATCCAGCTATCATGTTTGTCATGGCAATAATATATTTCTTGGCATACTTTTGTGTTTAATAGGGAGTAAAGCTCTTCAGCGATATTAACAATAGAGTTTTACTTCTCAACAATTTTCTGATAATACAGAATTTCATCAAAGGCAATGACCAAAACTAAACATTTTCCCGAAGTATTTCCTCTTAAACAAGAACCTTTGAGATATTGATTATTTGCACAGCAATGCCTTCTTTATCTTTGTTGTTCTTCCTATGTCGCTTTATCTTTACTTCATTGGTTCCTTCATGCATAGGCACTATCAAAACTGCAGCCGAGATCCGAATCAAAACAAGAATATTTTATACCTTGCCAAGGCAAATCCAACGTTTGTTTAGTTTACATGTACCGAATCTGACACCACATCCAAACTGTGGACGTAGACCAAATTTGATTAATATAGTATATATTCCCTAACAACTAATACGTGTTCATAATTTTGGTTAAACGTTTCCTTTATTAGAACTACTATTGTAATTACAATTGTATGTATTAAACCTTTGATCACCTCTTACCTACCATGGAAGAAAGGCCCAAAATCAAACTGCTCTTTTCAGGTGCTCTTAATATCATAACTTATTTATAAAAGGTGGATATAACATGGGCAACCATATTTCTGACAGGTGGCTATACCATGGGCAACCCGAACTTATAACAGGTGATTATAACATGGGAAACCTATATATCATATATTACTAGTTGCATCTAAGCAGTTTAAGATGATATGTGGTCATAGACAGAAGGGACAACGTTCATCACAATACTCAGTGGGTATCATTTTTTTTTTGATTCACGCCATACGGTATCCATGCTGGTACATGAGTGCATGGACTAGTGGTCAGGTCATACTGTTTTCATGGAAGAATTATCTCAAGCTACGTCTAAGAATCTGGATGTTTCAGCGACCAATAGGTCCAGAAAAGGTGGTACCTCATGGAAGATATTGAAGCGCAGATATAGACAATCAGAAACATTAACTAAAATAAGTATATGAAAAGTCAGAATGAGAAATCATCCAAAATGCGTATTTGTACTGCGTTGTACGTTGTGGTGTATTATGCTCAGGGTGAATTTGACATTTACAATAGTGCCTTCCTTTTTGTTTGGTCTTTAATCATAATGATTTTAATTTTCAGTATTTCGTTTTTGTTTTCCTCTTAGATCGGAGGATCTCGAATGCTGCCGGTGCGCTGGATGTCTCCTGAGAGTGTGAAGTGGGGACGGTTTACCACGGAGTCTGATATCTGGGCATTCGGAGTCGTTCTTTGGGAAATACACAGCTATGGAAGGCAACCTTACTACGGTCATTCTAATGAAGAGGTGAGACTAAGTTTGATGTATCTTATCATGTAATCCAAAGCTTGTCTTTATTTCCAAGAGTTCCAAAACAAAAATTAAAAATTCAAAAAAAAAATATTATTTTCATAGGAAGAAGATATTTTGAACGTATTTCTATAGAACAATCACTTGAAAAAATTAGCGATGACTGAGATAATTATCGTTTCCTGGAGGAATTCATTGCGCTATGCACAGTTACTCTCTGTAATCGTCTATATCTTTTGCAAGAAGCATGCAAGCGGTATTAATTTTATTTGCAGTATTTAGCTCTCTGACATGTTGAATCCTATCCATTGCTTAGCTAGTTTTGCAAAAATTAATACCAATAGTACAAACATAATTTCGTCTAATGTCCCGTGATCTGTTGTTTTTCTACGTGTTTGTATTTTAGGGACACATATTCTGCTACGTTGTTTACCTGAAAAGAATGAAAATAAATATCTGATTTAAGGCTTTTGACGTACCTTATTTTCATATCTCAGAAACCTTGCGAAAATTCTATAACGTTTGATGATAATGGCAATTAGCCGAGCAAGGTTTTTGCTTGTGTTTACCCGACAAAGCATAGATTTTCACAGGTTGTACGATTTAAAGGATTCATAGATTGTGGGAGAATTAACCGCTTTAGAAGGTGGATCTTCAAAGTTTGCGATGCCATTGTTATGCTAACGCATGTCTTGGTGCTAAGATGCAACATCTTCGTTGCCGGTTATCTCTGTTTGGTTTCATTATTTTCTATAAAATAAGAATCAACATAGAATGCAAAAATCAGAAACACAACGTAAAGGCAGAGACGCCTTTTTCCTTATACAAATCAAGTAGTCAAACATGTACTTCCTACGTTTATTGAATGAATAAATTCTCCGCAAAGCAGATATACTTGTACGCTACGGGCAATGTTTGCATACGTGCTTCAATACAAACGTTTATGAGATTGTCCAACAGGGTTGTATTTGTTATCATGTAATTTGTTACTGTTTCGAACAATATTCTGTCCGTCCTAGCATATTTCAGTGAGACCACAATTGACTAAAGATGTTTGCTTAACCCAGGCTTTACTTATTTCGTATCAAAATAGTTAAGCGTTCATCATACGTGCGGCCAAGAAAACAAAGGCAAAATGTGTTTTGTTGGCAATATACCTTCCAATTTTGTCTTCTTTACCTTACAGGTAATTAGATTTCTGGATGAAGGAATCCTTCTTCAGAGGCCGGATGAGTGCCCCTCTACAGTCTACCACGTGATGTTAGGGTGTTGGAAAACAGACCCCAAAGAGAGACTACCATTTTCTAAAATCTATAAGTACTTGAAAGATTATAGTGCAGAAGTCATAAGAAGTGCACAATTACAGATAAATGGTAACGACAGTGAAACGGAACATCCCACCTGAAACGTTCCTTGACGATTAACAATTTCTTTGAAAACGTCAATACCATTTTGGGAACGCTTCTTGATAATAACTCGTTTAAAAACAAAATCGTTAAAATGTTGGTAAAATATACACCCTATTTAAGACTGAAGAAAACACCTCGTCATGATTGAAAATTCGATATCGGATCGCTATAGGCGAGGATAATGAACGTGTACAAAACTGAGTACTGTGCTCGTTATTACGGTGTAACCAACATATTCTTGAAAAGGAGCAATCGGCTTGAAAAGGCCATTCCTAACGAACATATTCATCGACAACGTCAATAAACTGAAAATCACCACATAAAAATACACAACTTGCCTGATAATGCCAATTTGTTTAGATGAACGTCTATCATTATAATGTAATTTAGTGAAAATGGAAATCATCTCTGCAAATCAACACCGAACAAACTCAAAATTGTGTTTCCTAAACATATAATAAATTTTACAACACAGCATGTATATGTATGTATATGTATATATATATATATATATATATATATATATATATATATATATATATATATATATATATATAATGATTTTTTAAATTATAACAGGAACATCCTTTGTATATGTTATCGTATACCCAAGCGATACATAGTCATGTTTTCAAAGTGGACTTGTATGAAATTACCATTCCAATATATTTTCCGTTTCTAATATTTATCGTAGTTTTGAACTTGTGGTTTATAATTCATTGAAATACAAAAATAAAGCAGCATGCCAAATTAGAAATAACTTCTCGACCATTACATATACATGTATATAAAAATGAATATAGACAAAATAATGGTTGTTTGGCATAATATATAACATGGTGGTCTCAGCCATTATTTTCGGTGTCTGTTTTTTATTTTCAAGGTAGCTTTATCAATTTTTCATTACAATTTCTGCACTGTGGCAGTTTATGGTGATGTCTAGCACTGGGGTGTCACGCCGCAGATATGTAGCACTATGTCCCAGCCAGTCACATTTTCCTGACACCAGGCTAACCAATGCTAACACTAACCTCTTAATGCTGAGCACGAAGTGAGGCAGCTGTTAGTACCATTTTTTAAGTCTTTGGTATGACTCTGACGGGGTTCGAACCCCAACCTCCCGCATCCGAGGCGGACACTCTAAGCACTTGAGTGGTCGTCTATCAAAATGAAAAGTTCAAAATAATAGTTGTTTGACGTAATATATAGCACGGTGGTTATCTGTATCGTATTGATTTCAAGGGCATGAGATACTTAGTGGTATCTGAGACGTATTCTCCATTCTAGTAAAATATTGTATCTCTTGTCAACATACGCTGCCCCATCATATGACTTTTCTGGATAAAATGGCGTGTCTTTTTATAAATCAATACTACAGACTATCAAATACCTTACTAAACATGTTTGAGGAATCAACACTACACATCAGTAGATATGCTACTGTACATATATGAGAAATATGTATCTCCCAATCTGCAATTACACTAATGTATATGTCTGATGAATCTGTAGCCGAGACCTGCAATTACACTAATGTAGATATTTGAAGAATATGTACCACATATCTGCAATTACACTATTGTACATGTCTGAGGAACCTGTATTCCAGATCTGCAATACTCTACATATTTGAGGAATATATACGCCAGATTTGCATTTACAGTACTGCACATGTTTAAAGCATCTTTACCCCCGAACGTGTTTGAGGAATCTGTATCTCAGATCTGCAATTACAATAATGTGCGTGTTTGAGGAATTTGTATCCCAGATCTGCAATCACACTACTGTAAATGTTCAGGAATTTTTATCTAAGATCTGCAAATGCACTACTCTACATGTTTGAGGAATCTGTATTTCAGATCTGCAATTACAATAATGTGCGTGTTTGAGGAATTTGTATCCCAGATCTGCAATTACACTACTGTACATATTTCAGGAATCTTTATCTAAGATCTGCAATTGCACTACTGTCCGTGTTTGAGAAATATGTATCCCAGATTTGCAATTACACTATTGTACATGTTTGAAGAATCACTAAATGTTTTTGTGGAATCTGTATCCCAGATCTGCAGTTCTAATACTGTATTTGTTTGAGGAATTTTTATCCAGCTCTGTAGTTACAATACTTCACACGTATGAGGAATCTGTATCAGATCTGCAATTACACTACTGTACGTGTTTGAGGAATCGGTATCCCAGATCTGTAGTTACATTACTGCAAGTGTGTGAGGAATCTGTATTCCAGATAAGCAATTACACTACATGAGGTGTTTCAAGAATCAATATAGCAGACTAATTATTAGACCATTGCTCATGCTTGAGGAATCTATACCGCAGACCATTAGTTACACTTCTGTAAATATTTAAGATACTGTAAATTTCAGTAAGACTAATAAATACACTACTCCGTATGTGTATTCATACAATTCAACAGACCATATAATACACTACTGTACAGATTTAAGATGCTGTAAATTTCATTAGAATAATAAATACACTACTGTGCATGTTTACTCAAGCAATACGACAGACCAGAAAATACACTACTGTACAGATTTAAGATAATGTATATTCCATTAATATTGGCATATTTAATCATTAAATAAAGCAGACGAATGAATGCCATATGTGCATATCTAAGGTGCTGTAAATTCCATTAAGACTAGTAAATACACTACTGTGCATGTTTCGTCAATAAATAACGCAGACCAGTAAATACACTACTGTGTGAATATTTGAGATACTGTAAATTCCAGTAAAACCAATAAAATCGTTACTGCATATGTTTGGGGAATCAATACCGCCAGTTAGTTAAAACACTTCTGTACTTTTAATCAATGTTGCAGAACAGTGAATACACTACTTTAGATATTAGGCCATCATATATTCCAGTAAGATAAATAAATACACTATATGTTCGAGAAATCAATACCACTGACCAGTCAAGACACTACTGTATATAATTTAATCAATATCGCAGAGAAGATAATACCTTACTGCACATAGTATACTTCTTTAAGACCAGTAAATGCGCTATTGGATGTTTAAAATATTGCCCAAAGTCAAGTAAATATAATACTGTACACGTACGTACCCTACACTACTGTACATGTCTGAGAATCAATATCGCTGACCACTACGTACATTGTGTTACGTGTATGAGGAATCAACATCCAGCCCAGTTAGAGTGGTATATATTTGAGGAATCAATATTGCAGACTAGTAAGTGGATTGTTGTCTATATTTGAAGTTACATGCACTACTGTACGTGTTATGCTGTATGTATTTCATACCAATATGTACACAGATTATTAAATATACTGTTGTACATGTTTATGTACTATGGCATTCCAGTAAATACACTGAATGCTTGACGACTCGCTATCACAAACTACTTAATACATTGCTGTACATGTTAAGCAAAATATCTGGCCATTCAATGAACTGCTATACTTTTTATGACATCCTAAATTGCAGTAAGATTAGTCAATATACCGTGACTGTGAAATGAATCTCACAAACTGGTAAATTCTCTACTGTATATGATTGATCAGTATTGTAAAGTAGTATTAGAAAACCAGGTTTTCAACTCACTTTGTTTTTTTACCCTCCAAACAAGTATAAATTATAGTCCTAAATTATCCCCCACCCCACCCCCTTTTTTTTCCAAAATAAAACAGGGTTTTGACTCACCCTCCCCCACCTCTTTTTTTCCCCCTACTACTACCTGTAAACAGGTATTTTGTAACCAAACAAAACAACAGGTGTTGGAATGCGATAAGCTCTTTACACAGAGGTGACTAATTTGTTAGAACAGCGCATGTGTGGAATACAATTATTCTAAAGACGGCAAACGGGTTTTACCACAAGATAACAGGATGAAAATTAAACTGTGCATTAGAACGTTTCAGTTAACAAGGTGGAAATTAAACTAGCATTAGAATGAAAATGATATTATTTTATATCTCGTTACCAATGATTAATGTTTCAACTGTTGATATTAAAAATATTTCACTATCACGACTATAGATACTAAATTTTACTTTACCACTCACACAGCGACGGGACTCAAACAGATCTTTCATTTCTGGTTTGTTCAGAGGATATTTTTTGTTGATAAAATACACCTTTGACCGATCGAGATCAATTGTGAGTTTAGTATAGTTTTGTTGGCTAATGGGGCTGTGAAAGTTTTTAAATTCCGCTAGCAACTTTTGATACAATTGTTCGAGATAATTGAAATACATGCTGTTATCAGATCTGATGAGCGAAAGTTTTAACTTGTCACATGTTCCATTAAAACATATACCTGATGTTTCATTATTAAATTCAACTGTCAATTGTTTACCGTCCATCATTAGATATTTGATGTTACTATTGTAGCTATTTGTCATTGTCAAATTTTCAAACATTATTTTATAAGTTTAGATAAAATTTCAGTTGGAAAAGATAATGTCGAGTATAGATCTATCATCATAACAATACCCAAGGGCAAATGTATCTACCCCATTTTCACAATAGCGTTTGTCATCAAAATTATACAATCCACGTTTGATAATGACATCTGTTTCGAGTTTATGATGATTAGTTCGAATTGCCATAGCTCTCATAAAACTAACACCACCATCAAGCGCATACCTGTAGTCATCAAATTTCATAAACTTTTTAACAAAATTACGAGGCAGACCTTTGGCTTTTTTCGTTATTTTATTATTATCTAACAATACGGCATACATTTTACTACGTAATCCGATAAAGTATTTGATAGCGCTCGAGTTCATTTCATCTTTAAACTTACCAATAACCTTTTTATTTGTGTCGTCATGAAATTTACTGTCACGTGGATAATCGGAAAGATCAAACAGATGTCGATTATTGTACATGTCCTGATAGATGTCCTCACATTCAATTTCATACACGAGTGAATCAGTATCAGTAAACAATAATCTACTAGCCGGCCACTGATTTTTAACAAAAGTGTAATGAAAATCGTACATCATCCACTTTGATAAATCTAACACTGCAGCTCCAACATAGATCGGCTTGTTTAGTTTTAGATTTGTTTTTCTTCTTTGTATCGCAACAAGATTTTCATTAAATATTTTCATGCTCACAAAATCATCGTCTGACACAAGTTTGTTTCTGCGATTGACATCATTAACTATTTCAATATTTACACGTTTCCTAATATTCTCCATCGTCTTACCAAAAACGGAATTGTTCATCAGTTTAAAGAAGTTTTTCTCAAACTCTGTTTTTGCTGCAGCTCTTCTTGAAGTGTTGGAGTTAATATAACCTCTCATCCACGGCGACTGATTAAATTTTAGTACACGATGAACTTTTCTCAACACAAGACCAGCATCGACTGCTTGTTTTAAAACTTTGTAATGCAAAACATAATTTTTCTTATCAAGTAAATTTGGTACTAGTTTCTTGACCATGGAATGTTGCCTTGGTGATGCTAACGCTTGTTGTTCTTTTGATAACAAACTATAATCTATAACCATCGATTCCGCACAGAAAGGGTAATCGTTATGTAATTTGTGTAGCGAATTTGGATAATCAAGATCAACTTCAACGAAATAGGAAACATCGTCAGGTATCTTTTTTTCTGTCTCTGATAGAAATCGATCAACCGTGATCCAATGAAATCCGCTAAAAGGCATTGGTTCTGCCATCGAACCACCGTAAAGATTATTACAATCTAGATAAATTATATACTTCGAAGGAAGGTCAGGGTTATACTGTTTCAGGTATTTGTTGTTTGCTTCAGCATATTTTTTTGTTATCACGCTAATACCACCTCGGATACCTTTTTCAATATAATTGAACATATCAACATCAGTCAGTAATTCTAACCTTACCTTACTAAACTTTAGCAAAGCATCCCATGACAACCCAGGGGCAGAATAATACCAGCAAGGATCTAGTCCATAATTATTATAACTCACTTCACGAAAACTTTCAAAAACATCTGCTAATAATAACACGTCAGTTTTCAGGTATAAATCATGATAATCACCAAAAGTCTCACATTCAAACTCTTTCCAGATATCTTGTGCATACCTGTACTCGTCATCGGTTATATTTTCGTTTTTAAGTTGTGAGTAAAATTTGTCTTTGTCAGGTAAAGATATTTCATCAAATTTACTCCAATC